GATTCCGTCACAGGGGGCGACGGCACAATTCGGGATTCCGTCACAGGGTGCGATGACACAATTCGGGATTCCGTCACAGGGGCGATGACACAATTCGGGATTCCGTCACAGGGGCGATGGCACAATTCGGGATTCCGTCACAGGGGCGATGGCACAATTCGGGATTCCGTCACAGGGGCGATGACACAATTCGGGATTCCGTCACAGGGGCGATGGCACAATTCGGATTCCGTCACAGGGGCGATGGCACAATTCGGGATTCCGTCACAGGGGCGATGGCACAATTCGGGATTCCGTCACAGGGGCGATGGCACAATTCGGGATTCCGTCACAGGGGCGATGGCACAATTCGGGATTCCGTCACAGGGGCGATGGCACAATTCGAGATTCCGTCACAGGGGCGATGGCACAATTCGGGATTCCGTCACAGGGGCGATGGCACAATTCGGGATTCCGTCACAGGGGCGAGCACAATTCGGGATTCCGTCACAGGGGCGATGGCACAACATTTTGCATGGGGGCGAGATCTGCCGAAGTCGTGACCCTACTAGGGGGTCCGGGGACATTTTCCCACTTAAAAAAAATAAATCTAGACACTCTGAAACGCTATTTCCTGCATTTTGAGTGGCAAATTTTGCTTACACAAAGGGTTTCAGCTTGATTTTGGAGGGGGGCACGCCCCCAACATTTTTTCGGACTCCTTCAATGGCTGCTCCTTCCCTTCTACATATTATTATATTTGAATGATGACAATGTTAAAGTTAAGACCCCAGATGTCACGGTATCTGTCATGTTACTGGGACTAACGAGTTGTTGTCATTTACAGTTGTCAAATACGTGTGGTAGACTCATTTGTCAAGATTACGTATGTTTCAATCACGTTTTCATTAATATAAGCACTAATTCTCACTCATTATGCGAGTTCCTGGCCACTTTTCTAGCGATATGTTCCAGTGAGTTTGACGTACTGAATAATTACACAGTTATGGCGTCAACAGGTGGAACTTCGGGACAAGATAACGAGGTAGTAAAATTTAGGGATCTGAAATAGAGCATGTTCTTTTTTTTCAACTGACCTGTTTTACGACGCAGTAAGAACAAGATCGTAAATTTCAATCGATTAGAGCCATCTCGTGTATCATCGTCCATTATAATAGTTGAACTGTTTGAGGTGAGATGAAGATCATAATAGTGAAGAATATGTCCTATCAACCCTACAAGTTACTACCCTCAGCTTAAACTTTTATTGAATTTAAAAAATGCGTTCCCTGTAACTTTAAACAATAGTCCTTTCTGGTGAGATCTTTTTACGTGTTGATTTCGAACTAGTGCCTGTGTTTAGGGTTCTGTTAGCGTATATACATCACACTATTAGTGAAGATTTTACTAAGATACAGTTTGGGGATATATTTTTCATCAAGCGGAGTCATCATCAAGTAATTATCCGCTCAATTTAGTGCGCCATGATATGCACACTTGTAGCAGTACACTGTCACAGAACCAGCCCACTGCGGGCATGATCGAATCATTGATTCCGGTTTCCGTTAACGAGTGCGTATAAATGATGTTCAGAGTAACCACGTACACATATTTTACGGTACCCGGTTGTTTTTACACACGGCATACTTACACCAACGACCACAACAAAAAGTAGGATGGTCCCGCGTAAATGAATGACACGTGGTCCGGAATTAATATTCAGATCGTTGTTGTACTTTCGTCGTTTTTACTGGCTCCCATGTTGGCCATAAAACAGTGTAGTTTGATTTAATCTGGTGCAGCTGTCAAGCCCGATGAATGTTGCAATATCCCTGCGTCACGATTCCAGTATATGTTCCTGTTTTGACGTAGTGTCCAGTGCGTAACTTCTTTAGTCATCGAAAGTACCGCAGATAGTACGACGTCAATATGGCCAACACAACGATAGGAAGCGCAACAACAACTCTCGCCCAACCGTCGATTTCAAGCTCGCAAGAAATCTATAATTATACGCGAGATGTTAGCGACAACAAAACGATGGAAATGTCGGATGCTTTCTTCTGTGGCGAGGAAGACCCGTTTAGTAAAGACTTCTTAGAAGGTAAGAACTGCGAAAGTTTTTGCCTACAAAATGGTTTAGCATAAGTGTATTATATCCCTAAGTAATTTGTCAACAGATTTACAAAGTATACAGCTGAATCGTATTTGAATTCCAAATAACTAGAAGGAAAAAAATATAATGGTGACCTTAGAAACCACCAAACACAAACTTTAAACATTCCTAAATTTTAGATTGAATTGGGCGCTTTTTGAGAATATGACATTGTCTTTGACGCAACATGAAATACATGGCACTAATGGTACTTCGCATTGATGGCGACCATTCCGGTCCTTCGCTTCGCCAACTTTGAAGAATATCGAGGTCTTGAATTTATCGTTTACAAAACCCATCGGTCAACATAACTCACGTGAACATCAAAGGGTCCCAGCCAATTGATCATGCCACATTCAATTCATCCACTGACGGAAAATACACCATTCCTCAACCGTTGCCAACATACATAGAAAAGAAATGTGCCGGCCTCCGCGTGTGGCTGACTACCCGCTGTTGGTCATGGTGGACTAACCAACTAGAACACAGTACGACAGAAGATGGGTTCAGAAAAGAGACAAGTTAATTGGATCGAGAAACAACTTCTGTTTTTCCAGTAGGCGGGTCGACAATTTACGACGATTCAGGTGTTAGAACAGTGTTGCCTCAGTCAAAAGCTAACCCAATTTCATTCATTGAATTTTTTCTGACAATGTGAACGTGTACAGAGTGTGTTTTCACTTAAGTTTGTTTATTGTTAACACTGCGTAAGTTGTCCCAAAGTTGAAAGATAATTTTAACGTAAATCTGTACATTTACTCGATAATCAATCTTATTGCATACATCACACGTGAGGTCCCTTCAACCCAGACACACAGAAAGAAGACTAAAATACGTCGTGGTTCAAACGAAACGCACACGTTTGCATACCCATTATTTATATAAAATTAATTAAATATTCTCTCGACTGTGCTACTTTAGGTTTTTGAGCCTTTTACAGCCATTTGAAAAATAACGTGTCTAACACCACAAAAAACACACGATTACGCGAACAGTTCTTGCCCGCTTTCATTGATTTTTCTCAGAGAACTTAAGATCAATTGAAAGCAAAATGTAAAATTGTTTTCAAGTTTCATTAATATTGACTAATTGACTCTGTGAAAACAGAGTACTCAAATTTATTACAGAATTCTCCTCCATCACTTTGTAAAAGAACTAAACAATTCAGAAACTACTATTTTTGAGAACATTGTAGTCTTCCTTTTCTCATAAAAATGTGTTGGTTAACTGGTTGGCTGATTTTCTAGTTTTCTAGTAGCAGTAAACAATAGCAGCACAGTGGATTTTGTTTATTTAGTTGTCACGAGACGTAATTAATGTTGACATTAGTGTTATCATAATTGTTGGATAGAGTGTTGCAAGGGCTACAATAACATGTAAAAATTGTTAGTCATTAATCATTATTATTTGTTTATCAAGCTTTTTCTGTTTTGCCCAACGAAAGTCTACTACATTACACTGTGCGACAACTTCCCAGGTTTATTTATCAAAGCTCGGAAAGTCACGAGACATTTACTTACATGTCATTTCTTTGCCTCATCTATTGTTTTGCGCGCAAATCGTACGTCTACAATACGTAACAATTGATATTAATAATATTTCTCCACGCATCTTTTTTCTCTTTGCAGGACTGGCAGGATGGAAAATTGCCTTTCTCGTCATCATTACTCTGCTCACAGTTATTACAGTGGCGCTGTTCGTGGAAGCCGTCAGATTCATACAGACTGAAATACCGACGAAGAGAAGGCGCGCACATGTCACCTGCGTCTTGGGCGTTTATCCAGTAAGTCGCTCGCGTGAACATTTTATTTTATACGCGTCTTCATACGCCGTGTGGGACTCATTTCGGACGTAACGCGGCGAGTGCAACGCTTTTAGTGTTGAATGACGCGGTAAACGTGATAACTAAACGACGTAGTGGGATACCAACATTATTTTTTTTATATATCGCATGGAATTAGCATTAAAGAGGGAGGGTTGTCACCTGCGCATGTGCGTGAATTGAGTTCCAAGCACATTGAGTTGGACAAACTTATGTATTTTAATAAATTATTAAATAATAAAATGTTATATAACTTTTCTTTTACCCCCCCCCCCCTTCCTGGTATCGATTTCAAGTAAACACTGATAGTTTATACCACTCTTTATCACAATCTTTGTTACGCGCTAATGTTATATGCAAATTTTAACGCGCGATGTAGACACACCCTATTGTAGTAAAATATCCCAAGGGGTTGAAACGCGCCAGGACTGTGGCATGAGCACAACCGACACATCGGGCGAGTGTGAAGAATTGGCGAATGTGTGTTTAAATGGCGACTTCATCGATCAATGCGCAATGCGTACCTCTTCGGTACATATTTGAAGTATTCTATTTGCGGCATCAGTACGAGTGAGGGTATATATATATACAACAATACAACCGATGCTTTTGTTTACCATGACAAACCACACGGGAATCAGAGAGGTCTGATCATTTCTAGGTTAAAATCCAACAATACAGTGAAGGGCAGAAAGCTGTTCCTTAGTTTACAAACATATTGATAACAATTTGCAAATACTGAATATCAGCTTTCACATAAATTCAAATATCTAATGATTGGCTCGAGAGCTACACATAATGCTACACATAATGCTACACATAATGCTACACATAATGCGCACGCAAGCCTTCAAGACGGACCTTCAGTGGCAGCAACAGCAAACCGTGACCCTTTTGTTAACATATGAATGAAACAATAAACACAAACAAATACTAGTAGATATACAAGAAATATGAACATTTGTATATATATATATATATATATATATATATATATATATATATATATATATATTTGTATTCATGCAAGTGTAAGAGGTCGTGGACAAACATTTAAAATAACAGTAATTCGTGTTTTTCGTGCAGGTATTCTCGGTCACATCATTATTGGCTGTATGGGTACCAAGAGCTCACTTCATCGCCTCTATACATGCATCACTGTAAGTATATACACGTCTTGTGCGCTTGTCATGACGCTGTTTGCTTCAGCATGCCACTCAGAGAGGACTCGCATGAGGACACACATGTACATGAGTTCAGAATAATGTTTAAAGGGCGACGACCTCCGCCCTTTAATCTATGAAGATCGTGGTTACATTTATATCCGCCTCATGGATTTAACAATTATTTGCTGTTTTGTTATAGTCAACGTAGCATACAATGTTACCTTGGAATGACTCGCACTGTGTTGATAAAAATGTGTGAATTACGAGCGAATACCCCACAGTCTACATTCATTTCTATGAGCAGACGATGAAGATGATCTACTATCTCTGTTTCAGATATTTTTCCATCACTCTGTATCGATTCGTCTTGTTAATCTTTGATTACTTTGGTGGCTTCGAAGCAGCGACTCTTTTACTGGCCGAAGAAGAAGTTAAAATATCAAACCCTCCGCTGTTGTGTTGCATTCCGTGTCTCCCTAAAGTGAAGACTACGGCGTAAGTGAGACCAAATCATTCATTGTTATCGGCGCCCTCTAGCAGTGAAGCAGACGAAGTTGAACGATTTGCGCCCCCTATCGGTCATAAGCTGAATATTTGTTTATAATTATACGCCAATGGTGTAGCAGAGAAATGGTTATTGTTCAATATTTTCTTGATCCAGTCTAGCTGTTGTTACCATATAAAACTATGTTCTTTCTTTGGTTAGGACATTCTTACTCCGCATGAAGCGGCTGGCCATGCAGGTTGCATTCATCAGACCACTGACTCTGTTTGTAGCTGCTGTGTTGTGGACTGACGGACATTATACACCGGGAAAGGTGTGGAATTTTTCGAAATATTACTTGAAAGGATTATTTATCCTGTCTATTGGGAGGGATCACCTATTAGCATGGACAAATTGTAAATTTAAAAACTGTACACAATACATGAACATGAAAGGTTCGCTATTTCTTTGAGGTGGACAAAAACAATACTAATTCAACGGATGATAATTTCACCGGTTCGCCCTAGTGGGTGCTAGTTCGATTACAAACTGAAGACTCTATTAAGCTTTTGAATTCTGGAATTATTTTCAAAAACATTATTTCATACATATATTTAAATGAAGTGAAGAGCTGTTTATATATTGTAACGCGATTGTTTCCAGTTTGTATGATGCAGACTGCAGACCCATCATTGCCTGCTCTAACACCTATGCATAACTGTCTCCTTAGGTAGCCTCTAACGAAGCGTATATCTACCTGAATACCATATCCATAATATCGACGATGTTGGCGATTTACGCTTTACAAAATATATACCAAGCGGCTAGGGAGCCCCTACGTGGTTTCCGTATCGTGCCCAAGTTTCTGGACGGTGCAGCTTGCCCTCATATTGAGTAACGTGCAGCATGCTGTGTTGGGTATCCTAGTGACCACTGGCGTTATTGAGTGTAAAGGGCTAATGAACAGCCAAGGAAGGGCAAACAGTAAGTATTGGATATCATGGACCGAGACGATGTTGAGAATTGAAAACGCGTAACTACTCCTCATTCTTATACATCGTGCCCTCTAGTGAAAGACCGTTTATAAGTCACGTCAAAATGACGTATTTCGGAGAAAAGGAAATATCTTTCATATATCGTTGCTATAGGGAAAGAATTCAACGGAGTGTGTATAAGAAGTCCGCATTTTGACCAGACATGTTACGCAATTTATATTGTTAGGGAAAACATGTGTATAAAATACTTAGTAAAAATATTTTCTCAGGAATCATAAAAAATTAAAATAGAAAACCCTCATATGTCAATCATCATTATGAATGGCAAGGAAAAACAAATTGTCAATGTTGGGCACCCATATTTTACTCCGAGCGCTCCCCATGTGATCACACAGACCCATGTGACGACGTTCCAATAAACACTGTATGAACTGTCGAAACATATTCTTACTAATTTGACGTGACGTTTTCTCATATGGGCTTGTCAATGCTTGTTTTCAAACAAAACAGTCTGTACTCCTCATTGCAAGATTCTATGACGATCACGATGTTGTTTATTTGTTTCTTCCAGTCATCTACAACATTCTGATGATTGTGGAGATGTTCATCCTCTGCATAGCGGCACGATTCTTTTTCCGAACGAAGCTAGGAAACATGCGCCACCTCATATCTAGACCCTCTATAGCGCTCGAGCCGACGACCGGCAACAATGTCCAAATGCCACCGGAGCAGCAGGAAATGATACGAAAGAAGAGCGCGGCTGGCGAACACGACGTCGATGTCCAGAATGCCAATTACAATACAGTATATGATCAGAAAGCGATGATGTTCAAATATGCACTAAGGACCACGGATGTGGTGAGTGTGTAAAGTGAATAGGGCGCCGTCTACGACATCTGTTTCTATTGCCTGTCGAATCAGCTCTCCATTCACCAACAGGTTATCGTCCTAATAATAAAAATACAATGTATATTTCTGTTTTCCAAAATGTGTTGCGACCATGGCCCATTATTTCTGTCAATGTTCTGGATAACAGAGAAATACAGATATATTGTTCTACAATCTGCCAATTTAATTAAATCTTTATCACAGATAAGATTCAGCGACTATGTTTCAAAAAGGAGGTTATTTTCTCAAAAAGTTAGGTGATCAGATGTGATCAGGGAACACCGCCGACGTGATCCACAACAGTATCTCGTTTTATGATTAGCAGAGTCACATGACAGTTATCGCAATCCGCTAACTGAACGGATTAGAACTAAATATCTTCGCCTCGACAGAATATGCTGAAGACAAAACACGCACTGATCTGCCAGTGGGCTGAGTGAGTCATCGACCGAGTTTACAATGCGTCTTATTTACAGTACGCATATATAGTAGACAATGTATATCTGTTTTGTACTGTATGTTTGCTTTATTGGGTGCGGGGTTAATAGGTTAACTATAACTAACATATCACATATCATTGATGCGCACAGTAACCAATAAAATAATATTTTATTCCAACCGTGTGTGTAAGTGACGTTCTAAACAACATGCCTTCACGCTGTCCATATACTTGATGCCCTTTATCTTTGACGGCGATGTAAATCGTAATATGGTGATACTGCATACACTGATGGTACACATTCACGCGATAGTCAGTGGTCGCCAGGAAACTAAAATTGTTTATGATGGAAAAAACAATTATAACATATTTTTTTCAACTTCAAACGATTTATTTTCGAGCATTGATAGTTTTTTCTCATTGTATTTGAGAATGTGATCCGTGGCAATTTTTACAACATTTCAATATTCTAAATGGAAACAAAAATACCAACAATTTCGTGGGTTATTCGTGCCCACGTGTATATGTATATAGACATACCAATGCATAAAACACGTTATGATATACGCCGTACAGATATCCATATCACATGACCTGATCCGGTGACCCTTCTACAGAGTCTTCTGGTTACACACAGTGACGTACTCTGATAACGCACAGGGACGTCACTGTATCTCGTGTCAATTACCCCATCTTACGCTAAGTTCGAATCAATACAGTGAAGTAACGGAGGAATCAAAACACAGAAAGTTCAATGAAACCGTGCGGCATTATACGGAAGTTGTGGTGAGTATGTGACGATAACTAGCCAAAAGCGTCTAATTTGGGCGGCGAGTCAACCAGAGTGAGGAGGCGGGTATACTAAACTATTCCTAAAGCAAATGCATTCATTGCGATGAAAACTAATTGGTATGAATACAGTTAACAAAAGCTAGAGATCGAGTCGTTAGACGGTATTCATCTCTATTATATGTACATGTATGTACGTGCTATGTGCGATCTGGTAGGTTATGGTACTCGCTTGATATAATGGCATGTTAATGAGTATTTTAAAACTTAACGCTGGAAGTGTTTATTATTTGAGGAAACAGACGGACCTTGAACAGTCCACGGTGTTTATCATGTTCGATGCAATGTGGGAAATAATCAACATAGTCATTGTACAGGGTGGGGTTCGGGGGTCATACTCGGGGTTCGTACGTAGTAGCATTGTTGCTGTCATAATCGTCTTTACGTGAGTGGTAGTATTAAACATCTCTGCAATCTGTGGGCTTTATTCAGATTCCCACGACTACCCTGGAATGGAGGGAAACATGGCGACAGACTACCCTGAATACATGGATTCGCATACCGTTACACAGATTGTACGGGTTACGGTGGCAGAAGAGTCAAACGATGCCAAGTGGAACTGCAGTGATGAAGAGCCGTACACATACGACTACTACGCAGGTAAGTAACGGTACATTTATGGCACTGTGTCGAGTTTAACGTCAACTGAAGCAAAATTAGACAAATATAATAAAATGTTTTGGTTTTATACCCTCCTTCAATTATAATAGTGGCATATATTAGTATTCCGAGTATTTAGACACAGGGTTATCACAGGTCAATCGTCGTCTCGAGAATTTAGACAATGCATAGATTTACTGGACAATGTGACCTATGTCGTGTGACATAACTGACAATATGCTCAGACGACGGCATTGATTGGTCATTTTTGTTCTTATGCCAACTCAGACCTCTAATGCGTGACCTGAACACCGGGCGATTGTGGTTTAGCGTTTTGACCGTGGACCACTGTTGTAAACCAAACAAGTCCATCGGTATGTGTGATACTTGTATATTTACAGAATACCGACCGCGATCACGTGTTGCAAAACGCGATCAACGGTACATTTTCGCGTGTAGGAAAATACGCTGCGTTCCCACAGAATTTTCCTTCACACTTGATTTATACCAAATATATTTCATTAGCGGCTTCAATCATTAACTGCAACGATTGACAAGGAAGAATTTAATCTATATGCATTTATGCCCCAAAGAATAATAATATGATGAGAGTTCTCAGATAGTGGCATTGCCACGTTGTTTACGCTATTATAGTATTGTGTTTTATACACGTACGTGGCACTGTTATAGTTACTGTATAACACGTACATGTCTAACCAAGAATGTCATCCCACACAAGTTTCAACGATACCTTCTCCTAATTTGAAAATAAAAAAATGATTGTCTCTTGTTTCGCTCTGCTATTGACATTGATAGGGAAGCTTCCCTTCCAAGTAGATATATAACACCAGTGCTCCGCTTCGTTTTACGTTGATAAATCACAGACTATAGAACGCATTGTATATGATGAACAAATCCTGTCACTCAACGCAATACTGGTCGCATGTGGTGTTCTTAATCCTCGTTACCTAGATGAACTTATGCCACGATGTAAATGTTGCACCAGAATTGCTATCTACGCATGCTCCTGGACACCAAGCTGTCACCGGGAGAGAATCCACACC